AGATAAGGGAAACTAAATAGCCTACCGCTTTTTCCAACAGCACGAGATTACCTACCTCAATTCAGGAATTGGACAGAGAGTCCGCAATAAAATATTGGATTAGGATATAAAAGGGATGAACCGCCAATCCAATTATAAGGAAACGTAAGTCATACGAAAGCAATTATCTTCGATATAAAGAACATAATCGGCGCACAAATGTTAGACAAGTCAGAGATAATGCACTTGGAAAATAAAAATTAAAGAAAGTTAAGCCAGCCTTGCTGATTTCTAAATTACAAATTTAATCTATATGGTTAATGACAAAAAATTATTAACCATTTTGCGTTTGCTAAAAAAAGGATTTAATTAAAAAATTCAAAGTCTCTTAGAAATTTTCATTAAAATCTATTAAAAGTTGGAGTTTTGCAACCAATCAATTAAATGCCATGCTCTTTTCAACAGAAAAAGTTCAAAATATCCCCCTCACTTTGTCCAAATTTAGATAATGGTGTTACTTCTAACTCTCATGCAAACAAAAATAGAATAAACTCCCACTTTTTGTCCAAAAGAATCTGATATTGTATGGGGTTTATGAGTTTTAATAGACAATTCTTACTTACGCTTAATAGGACGACCAAGTTGTATTTTATTGTCGATTTATCGACCTTTGTTTAACAGCACAATGTATACATACTTAGTCCATCGAATCAAGATAAACCTTGTTTTGCCCAAATAAATGTCAATTTCAATTAGTTTTATTCGAGGAAAAATTTTGTGTTTAAAATGAGGGGCTGTTTTTTCGTTTTTTTGCCATAATGACAAAAATGTACTTTTGACTTCTTGATCGTTAAAAAATTCGCTCCATTGGCTGGCCACAATTTAACGAAAATTGAACACGATCAAACTGAATTGAAACGGATGATTCATTTTACATAATTGTTTACACCAAACAGCATAAACTTGTCTCAAAACTAGTGTGTAGGTTGTGGGTGGTAATTAGTTTTGTGCATAGACCAATAACCACACTCTGTGTCGGAAGCGAAATTATTCGATACACCTATTCGCAGAGGCAATCTGAAATATAAAATAATTTTAATTAATCAATTTCGCTCATTAAGTCAGATTTAATGTATATTCTTCCCATACCCCCTCTATTTAATGAGTGAATTTTTCAAACTCAATTAAAAGCCAACTTTTTAAGATGAACTATTTCATTATCAACTTTAAATGATCTCTTTACATGTGAAAACTGCTTCCTGCTCCAATTGCCGAGTTGACTTGAATCAATGGGTCTACACGCCCAGTTCCAAAATCCTGAACCTTTAATTAATCTCTCATTGTCTACCCATTAAATCTCTAAAGAATTTCACGCCACATTCTCCTCGTTTTAGGTCACTCCGAGACCAAACTAAATTAAGTCTGAAATAAAAAGGCCACATTTGGTCTTTCAAGATAAACATCAAGTTAGTGGAATAACAACTTGTATTGGAGTGATGTAAATATTATAACGAATTCTAAAAAATAGCCAATATTTCCATTTTTGTCCGCTTACTTTCAAGTTCAACTCATTTCTTTCCCATCTGGGTATAATCATGGCGTTCTTTCCATATTTTCTTTTCGATTACTCAAAGGAAGACTTAAACTAGGTTGCCTGGTGGAAGGTTTATCGATTTTCAAAAATGAGGGTTTCCTCATTGAAGTTGACTATGAATACATTCAGAAAGATTAATTTCCAAAACTATTAGTACACAATTAGGTATTCTCTAATTTCCTTCTATTTATGTCCACTAATCATATTAATAAATAATTTATTTATAAACCCATTTATACATAATTTCCACGAGGATTTGTGTGTGTGTGTGTGTGTGTAATCCAATTTACCCCACATTTTGCAAGTGTTAAGTTTTCTGAATTGCTAGGTGAGCATTTTGTACGTCTAAAGAAAAAATTCTAAATACTTCCAATAAATTCACAACATTATAATTCAAGTTAGACCATGGAAAAGTGAATAAAGCAATTTAGATTGCCTTTGATAAAAATAGTACTTAATTACTTTCATGGTGAAAACGTCATAAGCAAACAGAAATAGTAGGATTGAGATTAGCATTTGTCCTTCGTTTAATTTAGTAGAGATTAAGGCAACTCATTTTCATACATATCCTCTAATTATCTTCTACTAAAGTTCACAAATATTATTAGAATATGTTTGCTTTCAGTTTATAAAAATCACCGATCATTATTCAAACAACAATTTAACGAAAAATGCCCATTTGCAACTGCACTTTGCTTTGCTGAATCATGGTTCCTTTGTATGAATTGTCATGAAGTACTGTGTTGCGTGATAATTAATTATACCTTAACTCACTTAGTAAACTCAGTGTTTTAAGCAATAATTTACATTTCCAACTAAGACTGTGGAACACGTTATCGCTGTGTGCGTCATCGTATGTCTGCATGTCTGCTCGCAGCGACCGCACAAACAGTGACCAATCATTAACCTCTGTTTAACCTAATCCCCCATCCTGATCAATCATTAACCTCTGTTTAACCTAATCCCCCATCCTGATCATGATTAAGCTCCCCTACGTGTACACTTTATCCACAATGTACGTACTGAACAAGCGTGCTCCGTGCTACACGTCTGTTTCCTTTATAGCTGTGCGTACTCCGTGCTACACGTCTGTTTCCTTTATAGCTGGGCGCCCCGTGCTACACGTCTGTTTCCTTTATAGCTGGGCTATAATAGCTAGTTCTGGGAGTCTAGCTAGATGTTGGAGAATCTGCAGAGATTTCTGAGTTAGTCAGGCTTTACTAGAGTAGCAATATTTCTGAGTCAGTCAGGCTTTACTAGCGTAGCAATCCGTGGTTTCTGAGTCGGTCAGGCTTTACTAAGGTAGCAATCCGCTACAAGACGAAGAGTAAAGTAAAAGATCAATAAAAGTCGATAAGCGGTCTACAGTCTACACGGAATGATGTGAACCAAGTTTACTTGTTTGGGGAAAAGGTGGGAATTATAAGTAGATTAAAAGATTGATGGAACTCGCTTGGGGCGTTCAAATGATTTTCGAATTTCAAAATTCACTAGGTGAGAACCTATCGGCCTTATTTGGTAATTAAGCATCTAGAAAATGGTAATCCCTATAAAAATGTAAGGCAAAAGGTTCCGAGTAATTCAATCAGTCATCTTAGGTTCCATCTCAAACACAACAAGTTCATTAAGTTCCCTCTAGTTCGTTTATAATTGGTCAAGTAACTTGAAATGGAAGAAGACAGTTCATTTCGGCCTTAATTTGACTTGAAATAATCTGATAATTACAGTCTGATTACTGTGAATGTGCTAAAATATCTCCACCCACGCAGAAATAAACCTACCACTTCGGAAATAAAACGTAAAATTATGAAACTTGACACTCTGTCAACTGTGCCTAATTAGGATAAAACTCACTTTGTAGGAAAGTGAATTTTAATTCCACTCATAATTACGGCTAGTTGTCAAGGTGTAATGGTATATGAACCAATCATATTCCACTCTGAGGGGCCCGAACTTAGATAAAGAAAGAAGAATTATCAGTTTAGTTTCATCTCGTGATTTTCTTCTATTGACACGCTACCTATCTAATAAGTAAAAGCTCTGAATAGTTTTAATTACAACTGTAATACCAAACCAATGCATAGATTGGTCTACTGATCGGTATCAAACCTAGAGTCACCAACCACATTCTCTCTCGGAGAGTAAAGAACAGTCAATAGTGCCAAATTTGAGACCATCGAATCTGAACTAAATGGACACCAGCCACCCTAACTTCTTTTGAATTCAAATGATGAAACTTCACTGCGATTTACACACTTCCAGAATAGAGTCATTCCATCACTAGCAATCTCACATCATTGAGTATCTCATATTACAATTAAATTAGGATGATAGGCTGTTTTCGCTGAGGCGTTCAAATTAATTTAATTTAATTTTCAATAGACTAACTACCTTCCATAGTTTTAAAGTTTGAAACACAAGCATCGATTGGTCGAAGAATCCTGATCTAATCTTGCTCTCAGTATAGCTTTGACCTTAATTTACAAACCCATTTATATGGCCTGAAACTTACTGAGGGCTCTTAACAGCATTTTATTTCACTGATACAGCAACGATCGCTTTTCGACCTGCATAAGTTTATTCATAGATCACTTTTATTTATTAATGAGGTCTTTGCCAAATACTCCCTTGAATGTGCTCATTTAAGTCTTACCGTTAAAAATGGAAACCTAAAACGTCCAAGTTCAAGAGGCCAGGTTATTTTATGACCAGCCAGGGACAATTCAAATTTAAAAAAGGCATTGGTGTTTCGTGACTGTGAGTTAGTTGACCTAAGAATAACCTCCTCACAGTAAACATGAGGGCTTAAAATTCTGGTCAGTCGTGCGCGCGATCATTTTAAAACACAAAAATAAACTAGAGCTTGAGTGAGGAAGATTTTAGTCGATATGATATGGTGATCTAGATGGGACATCGACTTTCGCAAAATATGGTCAAATTGTGTGCTTTTATTGTTTAATCTTAAAATACCCCACTTAAGTAGTGTGCAGCTTAGTCTAACATCCATATAGCGTAGAACGTGGTCGTAAAGTAATGCAGGATTCAAGTTAAGGTAAAGTAAGATAATTATCCGGTCATTTTTTGCAATTGATGTCTCAAAATGCAGATTATGTAAAATCTGCTAACAACACAAACGATAGCTTTAACAAGTGCGTACGTACTCCCCTCGCATTCACAGCGAGAAAGCCAAAAGCGACCTCATTGATTCGCTACCAGCTAACCAAGTTCATGTCCTCATTGGCTCCCGTTTTAGGCGCATTGCCAAACCCGTTGGTTCGTGAAGTGGACTATGGTGCGTTGTGCTTCCCCGAGCTCGCCTATTTTTCACGTGTGTAAATCGGCGTAGCTTCATATGGTCATAAGCGGGTGGCAGAGATACTAGCAGCTAGCCGCATCTAATTAGAAAATAAGTTTTTCTTCCTGTATGATGCCACGCCAATGTAGAGAGGGTAGAAGATGGAGACGTTCGTGGTGGTATAGCTGCTTCGGATGTACCTCTCATAACCACCTGGAAATGGAAATTTTGCAAGCGATTATGCAGGGAGATTCTGAGGAGCTTGAAGCTTGCCTCCAACGTCTACAATCTTCCCCCATCAGTTTAACCATTCGTCGTGATCATCCTAACAAGATGTTCGGTACTTTCTTTCAGCAATGCTCTCCCTCTATTTTCGCTGTGGAATGTTGCCAATGGCACCTTCTTCCTATACTCTCTAGTTATGGCTTCGATTTTAATCGACCTCAGCTTTGTCGAAGGTGGACTTGTTTTTGTCGCAAACAGATAAGGCCAAGTAACTCCCCATACCGACGATTATGGACTAAGGGACAATATACATATCAATCGATATTGGATTATTTCTTTGCCAGCATTTATGAAACACTTGGTGAACTAGAAGATACTCCGTTATTACTACAAGAATCAAAATTCCTTGAAAACCCACTTCAAACTCTTCTTTCTCGAATTGATGAACTTCTAGCCTTTGAAATTGACGTACACCGAATAGATTCCATAATCGTCTTCAATTCGCTTGCTGGATCTTTCGATCGATATCTTTGTACCTACTTTGATCCCAATGATGAAATTCTTCCAGATATTCCAAAGAGATCTGATGTATATGTTGAATTGGAAGCTTTGCAGCGTCTAATTGAAAACGGATTTTCAGAATTCGAGTTCATGGAATATGTTAGTTCTAATACGAATTGGTTTGGAATCCTTATTTCCCTTCTTGCACATCCTAGACTTCGGAACCTTGTAGAAGCAAATCGTCCAGTTCCTCCTTTGATAAAATCTGCCGCGATTCTATTAATTAATCTTCTAGTTTGGAGGCACAAACTTCCACGTGCATCCATTGATCTTCAAGACTGTGTTAATAATCTCAGTTTGAGGAAAACATACGTTAGGCGGTATGCTGAGCAGAGAAACCTATTCGATTCTCGAGTTGCTGGAATTATTCGAGAAAGCGATAATCTTCTGAGATCGCCGCCATGCCTGGGTCTCATAGCTCGAAATCGCATTCGATGTATTTTGGGAGGGAAAGGATTCAAAGCCAAAGTGGAAAGTCTAGGACTCCCTCAAAATCTCACCACTTTTCTCTCAGGTGTAGGCACTGAGCATATGGCATGGGTTCGGGCTCCTCCTTTTCTAGTTGCTGTGGCAACAGGAAAGTTGACTGCTGCTACTTTTGAGGATTGGGAAAGAAATTGGGGTGTTGAGATTGAAAAGATTGTTGAAAGCGATAGAATTAGAACATCGCTGATGCCTCCACCGGAATCTTTTCAAACTGAGGAGCCTATTGAGTCTAAAGTCGATCGATCGGCGTCGTTTTCTGAAATGATCAATTATGGGCCGAGTTTGATTAAACGAAGAGCTTCAGCTTGCCCTCGGATTAGTCGATTGCAGCCCATGACAGGTCCGGTATTACGCATTCAGAGATCGATGACTGCAGTGGTCCGTGGACCTCGACCCCGACCTAGACCCTCATCTGCACCCCTCCTCAAAGTCACTCCTCCCAAGGTCGGCGCACATCGATTGCAGTTGCCTGTACGATGATGCTGCGCTACATCTTTTGCCTTCTTGCCAGCCTATTACTTTGTACATAGAACTTTACTTGACATGGTTTGATTTTTTCTTTTTTTATACTCTTAAGTGTCTTTGAATTTTGAATAGAATGCTGTGTCCATTGGAGGTAATGCTTATGCGGTGATTATTATAAGTCCTATTTTTTATTAATACAAATATCACTCTCTTGTTAAATTGACTATGTTTTATGTTCTTTTTTTCAAATAAACGAAATTTATGACATTGGGTTTTACCTGTAAAAGGCAGTTTAAATTAGCAAAATAGACCAAATCGAACTCATTTAAAAGTTAAGTGTTTATTTTTTACATTTGTGCTTTTGTTTTTTATAAATTCGTAACTATTTGACTTCTTCCCACGCGACTAAAACAACAACCTTTCAATTTCTTTTCACTATTAGTGGTTCCTCTGAATTAGCCTACTCTCATTCATGCCAATAAGATTTTGTAAATATTTTATTAATTAAGCGCTGGTTAAAAAATCAAGGATTTGGTAAGTTTTTATATGGAAATAAACACGAGGAAGGCATTTTTGAAATCCCATTTTTTATTAAAAATTCGTCGGTAATTCCTTGAGGCCTCTTTTGTACTTTATTGCTACCTAATTTTACGTGAAACATCATGGCGTCCTTAGTGTCTACTTGAGACGTACTTAGGGTAATTATGTAGATACTCGTACAACTAACTATCCATCTTCATATTTGATTATTTCTTAGAAAGTCAAGTATCAAACGGCATATTTTAGTCATTTAATTCGTCTCACCTTAAAAGTGCGTCAATTTTGCAATTTGAACAGCTTACATGCAATGCATTGTTTTGTTTATTATTAAATGTAATGTACCATAAGAAAATGTTTCCCTTGTGAAAAAGAAGGGGAGTTTAGTTTTAGCGTATTCACTTCTCCTCTACCCGAGGAACAATTGCTGTTGCTTTTTCGAGGATTGTTTGAGGAGGCTCGCGTTGAATTGTTGACGTAAGCTAAGTGTAAAAATCTGAGCTTCGTTTAAAGTTGACGAGGAGGTGAGGTCTGAAGATTTTTGGCTGCGGATCGAGGAACTTCTGTGTAGACTCCTCTATGATTTGTACTTTATTCCATTGGGGACTTCCTGCTACGTTTTGAGAGGTCTTTGTTTGATGGACAATTCGCTTCAAGGGAGGCTTGCGGCGCATGTAATAAATGTCACTTTCAAAGCTCCACGGCTAAATAGGAGCAGAAGGAAGCCTAAAATTTTGCTAATGAGATAATTTCTGCTTGTCTCGATTGAGAAATGAGTTATTTGGGGAAGGGGGGGGGGATGTCTGTCTACTTTTAAGAAGCGTTGAGTTAATACTTGTTATAAGATATTAAGTTAGTCGAAAACGAAATGAGCATTATTTCTTTTTAATCGAAAGAAATGGCGAGACAAGTTAAGCTGAAAGTCCTGCTTCCCTTTTTAGCCATAATAATATTTTGAGCCATTTAAGTAGTAACGAAATAAATAACTCCAAATTGATACACATCTTGCGGTAGCTAATTCAGCGCTTTAGTATGAAAGCGCTTTTTTGAGTTAAATTTATACTGATTTTTAGCCCATAAAAACGATTTCGCTGACTTTTTGTTGAATATCAACAATGCATCTTTAAATACCTATAAGGTAAACACATCTCTGCTGAATTATAAATGAAATACACTTTCAGGAAACGATTTAATAATAATAAGTACTTGACGTATTGAGTATCGAATGTGAGATTTTGGCGGATTTGAATTTCATATCACACAAGTTTGGAAATGCTTGTTGAATTAAGAATAATTAAAGGCTACTTAAAATCCATCTCAAAACAAACCTCTCCACAGATAAGAGCATTAATCGAAATATCATTTCAATAAATAGAAGGCCGAATTCAGTTGAAACCGAATTATCATAGCGACCAATGAGAGAGCTTGTTTGACGCGGAACATAAACGAATTAGTCATTCGAAAGAGAACAAGACAAAATTGATAATCAAAACGTCTCTTTTCAGCTACTATTAATGTGAACCTAAATAAGGCAATATCCTTGAAGACGAATCTCAAATTATTGAGATTAAGAATATAATAACTACTTTGCAACAAAATATTTAGTCTAACTGTTCTGCGATGTCTTAGATTTAATTGTGTGCACTGTGTGCAAGGATAATTCTTGCCATAAACTACGAAATAAACTCAAAATAGCTTCGCCAACTTCTCAGTAGTAGTTTAGTAAAACATTTATTTATTTCAAATGGCAGGCGTTTGGATAGTTATCATTAGCCCTTTAGTTGACTTCAGGCTTCACAGAGGGGAGGAGGAACATCATAGTGAGAAGAATTCAGGAGGGGGAATAGAAGGGTGTTTCAAAGATGTAAAAGAAACAGACACAAAGGCTCAGAAAGGGTAAGATGAGTAGTGGTAGGGGTCGAATATGACATACAGTGGGGGTGATGGTTGTTTGAAGTGAGAAGCTAACTGCCGATTAATAGACTTTTTTTTGCCGCATGAGTATACGTTGCCCAGGGTGCACCACGTGGAGGAAAGTCTATCGCACACCCCAGTTTAGCAAAACATAAATATTGATTGAACATTTGATGGAGTTTGGGGTTAATTTCGGTCCTAGATTAACAACTTAAATTGCATTTGTAATTTGCCAATGGCAAATATTTCGGGTCTTTGATTATTCTCCCTTTTTTGACGTTTGCATAGATACTTGCTCTTCCAGAGATGTTAATCGATATGCTCTCTGTGAACCGGGTAATCAAAGCGACTGTTTACTTCATTTTGAGAGGTTTCTGTCATTAAAGCTAGTTACTAATTACCCAGGAGAACGAATCATTTTTCTATTGGTAGCCTGTGGATGGCTCAATTTGAAATGCTGCGATAAAGTACTTTCGAAACTAGGCAAAAATTTTTCCTCAAAATGAGAAATCGAAAAAATGGGAGATGAATAAAAATGGCATAATTGACTTAAGGAAAGGCGCGTGCCTGCAAAACACAACAGTGTAATTTATAAAACGTCTAATTGGGTTGAAAGTCATAGTTGAACAGCCGCAGTTTGATGTAATTTAATAATCTGATGACTAGGACAGAATTAATTTTATTATACAACTTTATTGGCAATAAACTACCAATAGTGTGAGTGGATTTATAAGTAACTTAACACTGCCAGTTTCTCGGATACTTAATTAGAAAAAGTGAACCCTGTTTTGATTAAAGATCATTAGTCTGAGAGTACATAGATAACTCGGTGGAAACTTGAAATGGTTGTTACCTTCAGTAGAGCACATCAATACTTATTGTTAAATATTTGACTTATTGAGTACCCAATGAATGCATTTGAAGTTCGGATGATTGATAGAATTCCCCCAAAATAAATATCGATTAGTCATGTCTACAATTCTTCTCTAACGCCAAAAGCATATCGACAGGCATACACGTTCGCGAAGCCAAATATTTAGAGACCGATATTAATTTTAAACGAAGAGTGTTCATGCTTGATATTTATTCATATCAAATGACAGGCGTTATTATAGTTATCATTAGCCCTTTAGTTGCCATCAGGCCTCACAGAGGGGAAGGAAAATCAAAGTGAAAAAAGTCGAGAGGAGGGGGAGAGAAGAGTGTTTCAAAGATGAAAAAGAGACAGACACAAAGGTAGAAAAAAGGTGAGATAAGTACTTTTTGCCGTATGAGTATACGTTGCCCAGGGTGCACCACGTGGGGGTAAGTCTATCGCACGCCCTTCATGCTTGATATAAGCATTGGTAGAGAACATACCTTCATTATATTTAGAAATTTAACACTCCCAAATACTCTAAAAAGCTGTGTATGCTTTGTTGATCAAGCACCGGTTGTTTACAAGTTCATTCACTAGTGTGGAGTGCACTACGTTACCACGACGGAACAAAGAAATTTCATGAGCACTCAGGCAGTCTCAAAAGTATGGCTGTGATATTTGTCACGTAGTGAGCAAGTGCGAAGTGAGTGCAGAGACCTCTCAGCCGCCCACCACTCAAAAAACTCCTGTTTTCAATGAGCGCTCTGCTTCCTCGATATCGTTGAGGCAGCCTAACAAGTTTCGAGAGCCTTTTCACACAAGGAGGAATGTGCCATATTGGTTGCCGAGATTCAGTCTACGTTTATTTGTGTAGCATTCTGCTACACTGATTGGTAACACATCTGGTAATTGAAATAAAAATGAAAAAGTACTCTACAAAATGACCAATTCAGTCAATGACGTTATTGTTTTATTATTTACTTCTTATCATCAAACGTTTATTCTAGTAATTCCATTTCAATTACGTGTAAACTAATAACATATCGGAATTACGATATAAACACCTTTTCAAAAAACAATTAGATTGCAATGATTGGCTGAATTGATTCTAAATGATCAATCATACCAAAAGGACATATCGATTATAGAAAGTTTCGGTACGTTAAGATTACGAAAAGATCGAATATGAAGGAATCATATATATTTTTTTCAGATTGTAAGCTTTTAATTTGGTGGGTGTGTTGAAGTACATCGTGAATTGAGGTTAAAAAACACCCTGGTACTGAAATGATATTTCGTGACCGTAGTGCTAATATCTGATCTCGTAATTACTTTTCATAATTAATTAATTTTCATAGTAAACAACAGCACAACCCAAGAACGGTATTTAAAGTTAATATTTTAGAAGGTAGGATTTGGAGATAAGGTATTTGACATTTTTTAATTCCTCTGAAGGCTAAGTCTTCTAGAATCTTCTAATTTCTTGCCGAGACGAGAAAAATGATCAGAAGGCAATGAAGTGTTGGCCGCACTATTGGAGCGGAGTAACAGAGAAGTAAAGGGAAGGTATACGTTAAACCAAGCTGAATTTTACGCACATCGATAGGAAACGGCGACTAGGTGTTCGTGTTGTCAAATCATTGTATTTTCAACCTTCCACATAAGTGTGTCTCCACAATAATTAGGTATATACTACTTATAACTG